AAGAAAAAAAGAAATGGAAAGGAATGCCGTCATGAGTGTTCAGAGTCCATATCTCACCATGCCCTTTATTGCCCTCTCCCCTCTGTCCCTCGCCAAGTTGCTTTCCCCATGTGGGGATGATGTCACTTGTCTTCATCAGGCCTGGATGGAGGAAGCCGTCCGCCGGTGTCTGTCACTGGGAGGGAGGAAGCGAGGGAGGGAGGAAGGGCGGGCGGGCACGGTGGACCTGGCACTGCCGCCTTTGAATCCTTACTATTATCACGTAAATGCGTTGCCACGTCCTGAAAGAAAGATGAACGTCGCCGCGGGAAAAGAGAAACGGCGGGGGCGACAGACGACGGAAGAGGCGGAGAAGGAGGAGGAAGGAGGAGAGGGGGAAAGTGGGCTAGGCGGAAGGCACCGACAGTCGGAGACGGCGAAATGGACGTGCAGAGGTTGGTAATTACTTTCCTCCCCCCCATCCCTCATGTCCTTTTTATTTTATTTCCCCCCTATCCCATACCCGGATGTCTTGCAGTCTTGCGGTGTCCAAATTGTTCTTGGGAAGGAAGGAAGGTGCATGGAAATTCGTGCTTCTGCACTTCTTGGAACACTAATCTTTCGCGGTTAAATTTGATGAAACAGAGGCATCGAGAGCAGGGCTTCTGAACCATAACGTGCACCTGACAGTGTTCCTGGACGAGCTGATCGCCATCTATGACATGCTTGGGGTAAAGAGAGGAAGGAGGAAGGAGGGAGGAAAGAGGGAGGGAAAAAGGGGAACCCAAAAGGAGGGAGAACTTCCGTGAGCAATGGTCTCACTCCCTTCTCTACCTGTCCCTCTACTTGTACATTGTTCCGTCCCTTTCTCTTTCCGTGCGCCATCCTTCCCTCTTCCTCCCTTTACGCACATGCAGAGCGACATCGCGGGAGGACGGTATCGCCGGGCACAATACCATCGATTTGTGCAGATCTTGCGAGGATTACCATTTGCCATCAACAAAGATAATCTGCGTAGCTTAAAAAAAAAGCGAGGTACAAAAAGAAGGAAGTCATGAGGGAGGGAAAGTAGAGGAAGCGAAGACATGTGGTGCCGTGTCTCAGGGAAGCAACAGTAGGAAGGAATAAATGTTGAGGAATAGAAAGAGGGGGGAAGGAAGGGAAGAAAGGGTCTATCGCCAAGTGTCATGCAGATCTTGACCCTCCCCCTCCTCTCCTTCTGCTCTCCCACTTGGATCATTTTATTCGCCCTAAGGAATTGGGTCGTCCATGCTGAAGGATATCGGGGAAATCTTGGAGTACGGTCGGCTCTCCCGGTTGGAAGCTTTGAAGGTACCGACGAGAGAGAGAAAGAGAGAGAGGAGGAGGGGAAGGGAGGGCGGAAAAAAAGTAGGCAGGACATAAAAGGCCCATATTCCAGGATGCCAGACATTTGGCTTGCATGTCCCATCCTAACTCTCCTATCCCCCCCCCTCGCTCTCTCTTCTTCTTTCCCAGCGCAGAGAGGGCGTGGAAGCTTGCCTGAGCTTCCAGAAGGTTTGGGGCGTCGGACCAGCGACGGCCAGGGCGCTCTTCACGCACGACAAGATACAGAGTATATCGGAGTTGCGGGTAACAATGGATTGAAGGAGGGAGGGAGGGAGGGAGGGAGGATGGGAGGGAGGGAAGGAGGAGGGAAGGGAAAAAGGCTGGCGGGCTTTTGACGAGGTCGTGGAAGGGACAGGCGAAAGGAGGGGATACTGCTCGCTTTTCAAGTCTGACGATGTCTCTCTGGGGTTTCCATTACGCCTTGAGCCAGGAAGAAGGAGCGATTCTTATCTTACTCCGCATGATTGTCATTGCTTTCGTATTCACTACCTTGACCTTCTACTCTCATGAGTGCTATCGGTCATTCAAATCCTTCCATTTCTCTCCAACATAACCCTTTCCCCCCCACCCTTACATGTCCCCTCCGATTGATCACCTCCTCTTCCTCCACTCCTCTACGCTGCTCCTCTGCTCCACCTCTGAAGGCCCGCGTGAGGTCACATCCGGGTATTTTGAACGAGAACCAGCGTGTCGGGCTCCGGTACTACGAAGAGTTTCAAGAGCGCATCCCGCGTTCCGAAGTGCGAAAAATCGAGGAGCGCGTTCGTGAGGTGAGCTCTCCCCCTTTCTCACGCCCTTCCTCCCTCCTTTCCTCTGCCTTCCCCTCCATTCGTCTCCTTCAGTAACCCCTAGCAGTTGCTGGCCTCCCGATGAAAGCTCACGCCCTTGCCTTCTCCTCCTCCCTCCTTCCGCCCTCCTCGCATTGTGGCTTTTTACTCTCCGCACAGGCGACGGAAGCGCTGTATCCTGGCGTGTTCATGCTGACGACCTGCGGGAGCTACAGGCGAGGAGCCAGCCATTGCGGCGACGTGGACATCCTTTTGGCGCCTGTCTCGGTGGGAAAGGGGGGGGAAGGGAAGGGAGAGGTGGTTCGGGACAAGATTTTTATTGCGGGCAAGGAGAAGTGAGAGAGAGGGGGACAAAGGAATGTGTAGATGGGTAGAACAGAGGGCCTCGACAACCACGACCACCTGTCGACATCTTCCCTCCACACGCTTACGATGCTCTTCAAAAATCATTTCAACCGCTGTACGAGGATGTACTCATGCAATTCTACGCACAGGAGCGTGTCCAGGCCAGAGGGTTCCTCGGTCGCCTCATCCTGCACCTGGAAAAGGAAGGCTTCCTCACGGACCACCTCACGGTCAGTCCCCCCCCTCCCCCCTTCCCTACCCTCTTCCATTCCTGCGTCACCTATACCCCCTTCACGATCTCTTATTTGGACGTCGACACCTTTCACAGGACGCGACTGACGACAAGTCTGACTCCTATTTCGGCGTTTGTCGGCTGGGAGACGGCTACCTGCACCGTCGCCTGGATCTTAAGGTAACCGCACCGTCCCACATTCCCTCTACTCCCCGCCACCCCTCTTCGTCTCTCTTCCCAGCAATCTGCTGTCTCAGTCACAAACGCATCTTTCTTTTTCGTCCAGAAAACCTTCGACGCCGCTGAAGACAACGCTTTCTCTCCCCCCTTTCCCACGCCCTCCTCCCCTTTTTTCCCCTCAAGGTGTACTCCCGCCAGCAATATCCCTTTGCCGTCCTCTACTTCACTGGCTCCGATCATTTTAATAGGTCCATGCGCTGCTGGGCCATCATGCACAAGGGGGTAAGGGAAGGAGGGTTCGACGGAGGGAGGGGCTGAGGGGGGGAGCGAGAGCAAAGGGCGACACTCTCACATATCTTACCATGACAACAGTGGAGCCTGACCGATAAGAGCATGGGCCCTGCAGTCTGGGAAAGAGGTACTGCCGCCCCGCCCACCCCTTGGTCTTTCCGCCCCGTCTTCCCGAGCATCCTCACCAGGCTCACGAGACCTTTCCGTACCTCCCTCCTCGAACTTTCCTCCCACCCCGCCATCTTTCCCTTTGGCGACTCTGTAGGCAAGAAGGTCGCAGACATCGGCCCTCGCATCGTCTGCACGGAAGAAAGGGAAATCTTCCACCGCCTCGGACTCGCCTACAAACGCCCTTGGGAGCGCAACACACACGATGCTGTCAGCCTGGTAACTAACCACATGCCCTTTCTTCACCTCCCTCCTTGTTCCGACCCCTGCATGCCTTCTTGCTCCCCCGTCCTCGATGTTTGAGGTTGTTCACCTTCTCCATATCAAACAGGAAGCGCTAAAGAAGGAGTATGATGAAGCGGGGGACAGTGACCGGGAAGAGACAGGGGATCGAGGGAACAAAAAGGAAGCTTGGGCGCTCTCCCCGTCTGAGATGGAGTAATGGCAGGCATTTGAGGAGCGCCAAGGATGGGAGAAGGAAGATTTTATGCTTAGGGGGAGCCGTGATGCCGGACTGCAGGGAAAACCTTGCAGGGAAAACCTTATTAAGAAGGGTTAGTGATGGTTGTTATCGAAGACAAGGCGAAGGAAGGCATACCGATGAGGCCCCCGAATATCAACGATGAGCCTCCACACTCTCGTGGATTGTTTCACAGATTGTATAGAAACTAAAAGGATCGATTCTTCATATCATGTGCTTAGCTTTACAGGTCTCGGATTGCTTAGATGTTGCGTACAAATCTGGTCCCCAGACTGTGGCTCCTTCTGTTGTACACTAAGGGTCAATTCACGAATCACCCGGTCAATGTCCATACTAAAGGAATTTATTCTTGGAGGGAGAATAAATTTGACCAATCGATGAACCATCCATTGCACTTCAGACCTCCTGGTGGGGGTAAGATATTTCTCTCGATATGGGCCCTCTTTAATTTCGGCGATGTGGCACGGCAGATTCGTACTTTTCAAGTTGTCCACCCATAGCCTCCATGAGGTGCTCAGTTCTATTATTTGTCAGCTTCGTATCGTTATAAAATGGCAGTTGGCGTGAAAGTGACGGAGAATTCAAGGCTTTCCATTACATTTTCCTATGTGATTGGGCTGGGGTCGGTGGGCTCAAGCAACGGCTCGGCACGCCAAGAGATGCCCTAACTAATGCCTTAAGTAAAAGGGAGAAAAAGGAATAATATTTCGATGTCTGTCAACATGAAGAATCGGGGGTCCTTAAAACTCATGATTCGTTGTGATGCTTGCGAAAAGTCGACTCAGTAGCGCGCCTTGATTAGTATAAGCGTTTCTATGTTTCCTTGACGACGTCAACTTTGAAGCAACGGCTCGCCGCTGGCTACGCTTGGACTCGCCAAGGGCTATCCCCAAGCTGCATGTAAATGCTTTATCTGTGCGTCCCAATTTCGCCAATACTAAGCCGCGGACGTGCAATGCTATCTACTTGCTGGAAGGATACCGTGCAATTGGTCCTTCTTACTCCACTTTCCTAGCAGCTGTGAAAATGCGCTCTTGACACTCGGCAGTACATATGTTAAGGGAGGAGGAGCACCTTGGACCCATGGCGCAGAAAGTCACGCAAAATTCCGACCCTGCGCGCTCTAAAATTGTGCCACCTATGGACCAAGTACAAATAATCTGTATCGTATGCACATAGTAGGACACAATACAATAGAATAGACAAGTTTATTCTTTTTTTGCCGACATGTGGTTCGTAAGATATGGGGCAATTAAGGAGGTGATTCTTCTGCCTTTTCCGAGCTCTCCCTGTCCACTTGAGAAGTCATTGAGAAAATACACGCTGTAAGCTTATGTGATGCCTCCAAGCGTAAACTTTCCCGTAATGAGAGCTGCTTCGAGGAACATGCTGTTGTCAGGGACTTGAAGGCGGGGGCATGTGCATATAAAGGGACAAGCACAGAGCGACAGTATCACTTAGGTGTCTGATTGACACATCCGAACCCGACAGAATGCAAGTCACACGTTCATTGGTTCTCATCTCTCCTTACAAATCCATACCAAACAGACTTCATTATGGTCCACGAATCAAGAAGTAATTCCGTAGCAAGGAAAAGAGGCCTTGGTATGTCACCGCACCGGCTTACCACCTCCTTAATCCCCCTCGGCGTCCTTCCTCCCGCCCTTCTCCTCGCTCTCCTCCTCAGCCCCACCTCCACTGTCGATGCTACCCTGTACTGGGGAAGAAGGGGCACTGGGGTCCATGCTCCTGCCCCGAGTACCTCCATTCCACCGGCATCCCCCCGCTCCCACCCCCGCGGTCCCACGCATCATCTCGCCAGCGCCACGGCGCATTTCCGCCTGCGTCCTGAAGAGGAGGACGAGGCGAAGGAAGGGAAGGAGACTACGCGCGAAGAAGGAGAGGGAGGGAGCGACTGCACCTACGCAAGTTTTCGGGCGCAAATCCGTAGGGAAGTGGAGGAAGAGAGCCGTTTAGAGGAAGAGCGGGAATTGGCTCGTGCACGGACCTCTTACGCCTTCCACCTGGCGGAGGAGCGGCGACGGACGGGCGCAGGGTCGGAAAGCAAAGAAAAAGGACGGAGGGCGGGCGGGGAGATGGGTGGGGTGCGAGCCTGGGCTCGGAAAAGGTCTGGCCCCGAGGGCCGGAGGAGCAGCAGGAAGAGCGTCTTTATGGACCGAGAATCCCGCCGGGCTCTCTCGTACGGTCGAAGCGGGCAGGCCGCCGCCGCTTCCGTCGCCAGTGAAGAAGGTGTGCTCGAGCGCCAAGGGCGAGAATTGCCCTCTTTCCCGCCCTCTTCCTCCGCCCCCTCCCCCCTCGACCGCAGTCCAGGCACGGAGATGGTGGAGGGCCGCGTCACGGAGGAAGGGAGGGAGGAAGGGAGGGAGGAAGGGAGGGAGGTCGGGAATGAGGCACCGGCGAATACCACCACAGCCGGTGCCGGTGCCGGTGCGCGCCAGAGCGTGATCCACCTCCAGGTTCACAAGGAGCTGCACCATCAGCAGGAGATGCTCTACGTAGACTGTGCGATCAACCACCGGTAGGGAGGGAGGAGGAGGACGGGGGGGAGAGGCTCAGGTCTCGGAGACCAGGCGAGGGTGAGGGTTTTGCACCGAGGCTTGGCTTTGATTCACGTCTCTTTCCTCCTC